TTTTGATTTCAAATATTGTGTCACGTTATTAAATTGTTGCTGAAAATATACTCTACGACTATGAGTATATTTGATATGACATACTCTTTTTATTACAACAACAATAATATATTAATAAAATTTCACTATGTAAGATCTATGGAAGATAGAGTCTACACATATTTTATCACTATTTCATGAAAATATAGAGACTGTTTCTGAAAGATCATAGGTTCAAGTATGTCAAAACGATGAATAAAGTAATAAAGAAAGCATAGCAGTAAAATAAGAAAAACAGTGTACAATTGACAAAAGAAACAATAAGAACAATAAAATAGTATGATAATCAAAACCGAATAAGAATTTTTTTTATTACAAATAAATTTATTTTTAAAAAAAAAAAAACTTTATACATCAATTTGAATAGTTGAATAATCATACAAGCAAAGTAACTCTTTAATATGTACAAGGTACATTCAAAACAAGGGCATTTGAGGTCTAATAGCTTTCTATTAATTGATCCTTTCTCTTTCAATATCTTTTAGAAAGCAATTTCTAACTAATTTTATTTGAATTTTTCATTCATTTTCTACGATAATTTTTGATGAATTATTGAAATGAAATGTCTATCTGAATGAAAATGTAATTTATAAGAGATAGAAACATTTTTATTTATTCATTTAGGTTTGCCACACGTTCTCTAGCATATGAGCCAAATTGTTGAATTAGTAAACTCTTATCTGTTTAAATTTGAGCGACTTGATTCAGAATATGATGGTCAAATTAATTAATATTCGCGTGAATTCAAAGAAAAAATTTTAATTTTTGAAATAAATTTTACATATTTAAAAATTATATAAAAGTATTATAAGTCACAATAGTTAAAATACAAAATCTTTAAAAATATTGTGGTTAAAATAAATTCTTTAACCATCCAAATATTAACTTATTTCAATTAATAAGTTAGATTGAATTGACTTATTTTTAAGTGTTTGTGGCTTTTAAATATTTTTTTATTCTACTTTACTTTAGGCTTAAAAAGTACTTCATCCGTTCACTTTTACTTGTCACTTATTTTTACAATAAATTTTTTATTTTTACTTTGTCACTTAAGATATATCAAGAAGAGAATTTATTTTTTCCGTGTTTTACCCTTAGCATTAAATAATATTCTCCAAATCATTTACCAAGAGCTAATACTAGACATCAATTAATAGAGATAGTGTGATAAAATACTTGTATCACTAATTAGTGGTAAATGATTTGGAGAATAGTTCAACTACACAGTTTATACATTATTAAAATTAGGAAATTTGTTTACTTATTCATATTTTAAACCTCCTTAGTGAAAATTCTGATTCTAACTACTATTTTCCAATGAACTCTTCGATAAGAAATGAGTAAAAGAATCATAATATGTAACACAAATTTATCAATGATTCACCATGAAAAAAACTTTTGTTTCTAATAGTAGTGTTTATTCATCATTTGCTATGAAAAAAAACTTGTCATTTATCAAAATAAATTACAACAAAACAAGTAAAAATAAAATAATCAAAACCTAAGCTACCCTCTTATCCATATTTTGTACAAGTCTACGCATTTGAAATCTCCAAAACAAAAAATAAGTTAATCCAAATCCAACCAAAACAAATAACCATATATTATCTTCTTTATCTTCATTTTCCTCTATTTCAACTATACTAAATTCTTCTCTATTTCCATTACCCATTATACCCTCCATTAAATGCCCATATAACACATATACCCTCTTCCTATTTCCTACTACAACCGCCGTAGCAAACCCTTCCACCTCAAGGGTAGTTTCGTCAAACACCACTCCTTCGTCCCAATTATTCTCACTCTTTATATAATAAAGTTTATGCTGACTCACTACTAAAACGACGCCGTCACTTCTAACGGCGATTCCATCACCCGCCGTTAAATCCTTGTTTAAATTAGCAGTCTTCGCCGTTCCGTCGTTAACGTTGACTTTATACAATTTGCCGGTATTTGATTGGACGACGAGTAAGTACCCATCGGAGATGAAAACGACACCGTTTAATCCACATTTGTGGTAGTCAACGGTGAGGTCCACGGGATTTGATTTGAAAACCTCCGATCTAGAGAAAATCGAACCTTCGCCGTCGATGTTTACTTTCCAGATGAAGTCGCCGTCTGAGTTTGTGACGTAAGCGTTGCCGGAGGAATCAACGGCGACATCGTTGGCAGCAGCGGGGTGGATTATCTCTGTTACGGTTGCGATCGGGTTTTGGTCGTTTTTGTCAAGGAGCGGGGTGAGGAAGATGCGGCGGCGGGATTTGAGATCGTAGGCGGCGAGTGCGTTGAACGGGGAAGGGTGAGTGGCGGTCGGGGTGCGGTGAATGCAAGCAAGGAGGCGATTGTTACGGCGGTCGATAGCAAGGCCGAGGAATGAGGAATTTTCCGGTAAATCTGTATCGGAGATTAGGGTTTCAGCTACGCCGGATTCGGAAATTGAGAGGAGTTTCTGGTGACGAGTACCGCCGATGATGAAGTTGTGAGATTTAGGATCCCAAGTGAATGACTCCGGGTAGAGAGACGGTGATCGGAAAGTGATGACGTGGCCGGTTTTAGCGGCGGAGGCGATGATGAAACTGACGGAGATTAAAAGGGCGAAAAATGATTTCATTGTAAAGCTTTGGAATTTCTGGTAAGTTTTTTTCAACGGAATATAAATTTATAAAATCGTTTTATTTTGTTTTTTCCATTCAAACTAAAACTTGGCCACCAATCCAATGAAAATATTATTTAAGAAGATAAAAAATATTTTGTGATAATGTTATTTTATTTTTTCCATTCAAACTAAAATGTAGCCAGCAATCTGTCAGCTCATGTGCATGGTTTATTCTTTTGTCAAATTTTAACGGTTAAATCAACAGCTATCAATAATAACCGATAAGTCAATATCATAATTGTTTTATAACCATTTTAATATATTTATAATTCGATAACTGATAAGTCGAATCGATAAACTTCAAAACAGAATCGAACGAACCTATGGCCTAGTTTAACTTGTGAGCTCGTTTAGTGTAAAAAAAGGTCAAGAAAAGAAGTGACATTTACAAACATTAATTAATTTATTAGAAACACTAATCTCATTTTGTCGGTAGCATGATTTCTGCAATGCAGAGTAGTGACGGGCTATAGAGACAAATTCTATAGCTAAATATTAAAATTTATCGCTAATTTTATTTAGCAACAAATCGAAACGAAACAAATCAGTGATGCAATTTTGTTAGTTACGAACAAATTAGCAACAAAGTTTATAGTTGAATTAAATTTTTTATTTCCATAATGATAGTCAATAAACCATATGTAATTAATCAAAAACACACACTAACTTTACTAAACATTATGGTTATAAAAAAAGAGCATAGTGTAAAGTTGAAAGTTTCATACCAAGAAAACATGTGAAATAAGCTACAAAATTTATCGGTAATACCTAGTTAATTCGTCGTTAAAAGTTTCCTAACTAACTAAATTTTATTAAAATCCATCGCAAAAATAAAATCAACATAAAAATTTATTATTTAGCTATAAAAATTTATCTGTCGTTAATTCTTCGATAGCCTAATATATAATGCTCGAATGTAGAGTGCAATTAACTTAAAAATTCATACCAATAATAGGCTGTCCAAACTACTCTTTATAAAAAGTGGTGAATGATTCCCTAATATTATCATGCTATAAAGAGTATTAAAGAATAATGTATACGTTTTGCAAGAATTTCAAAAATCTTGAGTAGATATGACGAAAAATAAACCCCACATGCACCATATTTTTCATATTATAGCTAAGCTTCACCAATTTGACTTATAGCGAAATCCAATAATAGTAATTCAAAGTTTCTTGCCTACTTCAACTAATCTAAATACGTGGATCTCAGAAGCTCACTTGGTTGACTATTTAAATTTTTTATCTTGTTGAAGAAGATTTTATCCTCCATATTGTTACCCCCTCAATCCTCAACCCCCCCCCCCCCCCACACACACACACCCCACACACACGAACCAAATTTTCACTATTAAAATTAGCTACGAACTTTGTATTTAATCTGTCGTAGCTATACACAAATATACTTAGTAGTTAATACTCGTAGAGTTTTTAATACTCTATTGCTAATTCATCTCACTAGATTAAAAAAAAACTATAAATTTTATTATTTAGAATTTGTCGATCGTTAATTTTTTTAATTAGTTCAAATATTATATATCTAGTTGTCTCAATTTTCTCATTAATTATTAGACCAAACTAATAATAGAAAAAAAATACAATTATTGGAAGCTAACACATGCAACATAGTTGTTTTAAGAGTGTTGATCATCAATCATCCTATAACATCAATTGTATTAATTCATCATTCAATAATTAAGTGTTTAAAGAACAATTTTAAATTTTAAAAATAGAACATAAAATATGTAAAAGAATAAAATGGTGGGACACCAAAATGCACCGACCACATGCATTTTGATTGACTTGAAGATTAAGCCTTCACCATACAACTCATAATCCCACTACTATACAAAATATTAACAAATTTTAAGTGATAAATATTTATTGTTAATATAAAAAAAAATGCTATGTTATGTTGAGTTACATTAGTTGTATACAAAACAATTATATCGTCAATGCATATAACTTTCCAATTCTTTTAACTATAATACATATGGTTAATGCAGAAATCCTGTACTATAAAACGTGATTCAAGTTATTTAGATATCAAAAATTAAACTTCTTAATTTTGACTGTATATCCTTTTTTTTTTGCAACTTCCATGCACTTATAAGTAACGTAAACAAACCACTCTTCATTTCTTATAAATAAAGACTTCCCTTTTCTTTTCATTTGATTTTAGTGATTTTATTTTTTCCACCAAAGGTCACCATACCTAACCTACCATATTTCTTCATTACACACTCATATAGCCAATTCTTCTAAGCAAAAAAATCAATAACAACTCAAAATTTGTCTTGGGAATTATGTCAAAACTCCCAATTATTTTTCTCATTTTTGTGGTTTATTCAACACAAATAATCAATGGATTATTGAATAATCCAAGAAAACTTGATGAAGCTAATATTGTGAACAAATGTGGTAGTTGTCCTTGTAACAATCCATGTAATACACCCTCTCCACCACCACCACCACCACCCGTTCCGTCACCACCACCACCAAAGAAACCACCATCAAGTGGATATTGTCCTCCTCCTCCTCTTCCTCCTTCCGAGGGCGGTGGTGGTGGTGATGGTGGTGGCGGTTATAGTCCAAATCCACCAAGTAATTCACAATACATATATATGAATGGTCCACCAGGAAATTTGTACCCCGTTGATCAATATTTTAATGGTGCCAAAAGGGACTTTACTAGTGGATTTTCACTTTTGATCAGTGGATTTTTCATGGGAATTATTGCTTTGATATGAATATTGATCAAATTTTATGAAGCTAGCTGCAGATTTCATCAAAAACAAGAAATTTAGTGGCTAAGAGTATTTTTAATCTTCTTAGGTTAGTGCTAATTAGCTATATTATCTTATCCTATCGTTATAATTTCCATCTGTATCGATTCTAGTTCCAATAACATTTTAATTTTCTTCCACTTTGTATTTTTTTTTTGTAAAATTTGTTGTCAGTATTTTGTTTCTTTTTATATTTGATCTAATCATATACTGTTTCTCTTCCTCTCATATTTTCTTTTGGCGTTAATTTTATTTTAGTTGGGGACTACATTAACTATCCTTAACGTCTCGAGTTCGAATCCTGGATATGGAGAAAATCTTATTGAGAGTATCACCTCAAAATGTGCTTTGCAGTATGCGATTCAAATTTAGTTGGGATTCCAATACGAACTTTGAAGACCATGTGAGAAACCAAAAATCAAAAACCGAAAAAAAGAACTACATCGATATGGTTTCAATTAAAAAATATATGCAAAAACTTACTAGTATTAAACAAAGAGTTCTTATTTAAATTTCAATATTGAAAAGATGTCACATAAATTAACACGAATACGTTACAAAATGTCTGCAGTAGAAAGTTGGTGGGGGGAATGAGATCAACCTTGGTTAATACTTTTTTGAACATCTTTTTTTAGGGGAGATAACATAAAATGTCGTTCCAAGTAAGTTTAAAAATAGTTTTAAAAATAATTTTTTGGATAATTTTAGTCTTTTAGATTTTCACAAAATATTTTTTTTTTGTCTTTGTCCAATATTACAATTGTAATCCATTAATCAGATCGGATAGAAATTGTAAAAAAATAAAAATAAATAAATTATGAGAACTCATATTTGGAAGTGCATTTCTTGTGCAACTCTTTGACGTGCAATTTTTTATCTATTTTTTTTCCCATCCTAGTGTAAATTTTTCGTGTTGCAATTTTTAATAATTACGAGACTTTCTTGATATTTTTGATTAACAAAATTTGTTATTCCCATAAAATTTAAAGATAAAATTAAATATTTGACGGAGATTAAAAGCGAATACTTTTGACAAATTTTAAAGTGTTGGCTTTTGTCAATCTAGGAACGTGTGGTAGTTAGGCCTTTATTTTGGCTAGTTTTGCAACAACCTATTTTATTTATTTATTTGGTGTCTTGTATTCACATTGGAGTTTAATTAAATTTACATGTGAATGGAAAGTCTCTCATTAAGAGTAAAGTGTTCCCTAACAAAGACAATTCTATACCTCGAGAGACTTGAACCTGAGATTTTGATTAGAAATGAAAGAGTGCTTACGAGTCAATCACAATTCTTGTTGATGCAACAACCGGGTTAGGTACTGTTTAGGTTAGGAGTGTGGAAAATGTCAAGTTGTTTGGCTACTTCTTTTCATACTATTGGCTCACCACATGTGACAATAGGGGAAAGGAAAATTAGGAGAGACGTGGAAAATCAAATCTTCACTAATAAGTTATGGTGAAAATTTAAATAGTCAATTAACTGGACTACTAAGATTTTTCAATTGTAAATGTCATTTTGTCACTTAAATTAAATTTTTTTTCCAACTCAAAAGTTTCATCAAGGGAAAAAAGAAACAAGATACTTACCCATATGTACATGCAGCAACAGAACATTTCAACAAAAATGGTTGTATCTTGTATGTATATGTAATGTAAGGATAATGTATTTTTCATTATACCAAAAAAAAATCATTTTATTACAGTAACATATTCCGTTGAAATCTAATCAAACAAAATGTAAGGATTCAGAAATTTGAGTCATTTTATCTTATAAAGATAGAAACATAAATTTCATTTATATAATGATTTTAAATTGCACATAGACAAAGCAAACAAATAAGTTGCAGTATTCAAAAGCAAGCTAAGCAAGATCCAAAAAATTAGTTAGACCAAAGTTGTGCAAATTGAGTAGTACCTCTGAATTTTCAACTTGAAATTAGTGCAAATTATGAGCATGGAGTACATCATAAGTTAGATAAAAGCCTCAATTTTCACAAGAATTATGAGAACCGCTATATAATACTCCCTCCGTTCACTTTTATCTGTCACATTTGGATTGACACGCTCATTAAGAAAATAATGATTGTCATGATTATTTTACCACACTATCGGTCTTTTAATTGGTGTTTAAATGTCTTGAAAAATAATTTGAGGAATAAGTAATTAATGTTAACGATAAACATGAAAAAAAATAATTATCTTTTCTTGATAGGTTAAATGATAAATAAAAATGAAAATTTATTTTGAAATAGCGGATAAATAAAAATAATCGGGGAAGAGGGTGTAACTAGGAATATGACATAATTTAATGATTAAGTAGTTTAAACACTGGTTTGATTTTCACTTTAAGTAAATTAATGGTAACTTTTTAGTTAGCCATTTGAGAGAATAAACGAGTACCAAGAAGAAAATCTATTTCAAGAAACACACCAAAGATTAAATATTTTCCAAATATATATTCTTTTGAATAGTACTCCCACCGTCCATTTTTACTCGTCCAGTATTAATATGACATACCTTTTAAAAATAATTAGTAGAATGATAATTTTACTATATCACCCTTTGAATATAATAAATTTAATATTTTTAAAAATATATTGAGCAATGACTATAATTAATAATAAGGATAAATTAGAAACTAAGTGACAAATTATAATATCTTGATTTTTAAAATCATAAAAGTAAAAATGGACATTTATTTTTAATATAGTAATAGACAAGTATAAGTGCATGAATTAAAATTAAAGGGATACTAGTTAATGTAATACTAAGACTACGACTTGGTGGTCAATGCAATTATGTGAATATTTTAAGGACTTATAAAAATCGAATACCAATCGAGATAGAAAATATCAATAAGTTAATTTTTATTATTTGCCTTTATCCGATACTTGTACCGTAATAGTCAATGAGGTATTTGCACATTTTACTTTGGCTCGGTCGTCATTATTTTTCTATAAATTTAAAAGTATTGCTAAAATAGATAATTAGAGAGCCCAAAACGTTATATATATATATATATATATATATATATATATTTTTTTTTTTTATTTTTTTTTTATTTTTTTGATAACTAACGATTTTATTAACTACCAAGAATCATTTACAATCCAACATGACTCATACAATTTGCTAATTGCTATACTAATCAAATTTCAGACAGACATTATAATTTTTTCTAATAAAAATCCTATACAATTTTTTAAAAGAAATATATGGGCTTAGAGTCCTATGCAATTTTCTAAAAGAATATAATGAGTTATTTCACATCGTAAAATTAAATGACAATTTTATATGTTATAAATTTTTTTAATAATAATAATAAAAATCAGCCAATATTTTAAAAATCTTCTTAGTGGGGATCAGGCTAAGACCTAATTTATTAGTGACCATTCTTTAGATTTAGACTCTCTACTAAGGATATAGAGGATTACCCTTTTTGGGGAAAAAATGACTCAAAATTGAGTATTTATTGCACAATCAATTAAACTCAATCTCTGACTTTATAAAGTTTGGCAGTGTATTGGAAAAAAGAAATTATGCATGCGACATTTATTATTGAATACCTTTTTTATATGAATATTTTCACATTACTTGTCCATTTTAATAAATTAAATGAGATTTATTATTTTTTAAAAATATATTATTTTTATTATTTAATAATTACATAAAAATTTAGTAGTCAAATCTAGAGTTCAAAGTATAATTAATGAAAATAATTGAGTAAAATAAATTCTTACTAATAACATATTATATAAAACGCTCTTCTATTCAGAATTTATATTTCTGTAATACTTGAAAAAGTCTAATTATATTAAAAACTTGAGCTAGATTAGGGACCATTCTTGAGATTTAGACTCTCTTTTCAGTGTTTGTAGGATAAATTTTTTTATTTATTTTTAAAATGATCCAAAATTGAGTATTTATAGCACAATCTATCAAATTCAATTTCATACTTAACAAAGTTAGGTAGTGTGTTGAAAAAAATAATATGAAAATTGGCATTAGTTTGGTGTAAACATCCGATGCGGATAATTTTTTTTTAAAATTTATACATGTGACATTTATTATAAATCCCTACTAATAACATATTTCATAAAACGCTCTTTCGTTCAATAAATTATACAAGTAACGTTAATTAGATTAGCACATAATATAATGTATATAACACAAAATCGTTATATTTCTATTATTTGAAAAGCCACATAATTTTGTAAAATTTTCTAAAAAAAATTCTTTATTAAATTAGCACAACTGCACAAGATGTACTGCATGAGACGATAATAAATTAAATCGTGCATGTTATCTTTTATCAAACAAAAATAAAAATTAAAAGAATTATGTAGCAGATAAAATTACAAAAGGTACAATAATATTGAAGGATGTACATTATTTGTCTTTTTATATACTTACATTCTTCACTTGCTTGATAAAGATGATTTATTTCAAGATTAATAAAAACGCAATTCTCTTCCTGCTTTTATATTTATATATATATGATAGAAAAATTAATTCTCATAATTTTGTTATCCTTGAATTAAAAAATATGTATTTATAAACCTCAATCTAATTATAAAATGAATATACTTTAATTAGCATGGATATCTAATTTTTATTGTAAAAATCAAATTTATAACTAAACAAAACATATAATTATACATAAATGAAATAACACTAATTATCTTTGATCCCCCACCAATTATAACATGTAAGATATGTAGCGATAATATTTTTTACTAGCTAGTTTTTCTCAGCTAATTATTATCTATATAAAGACTACATGTTCTTAACATTTTCTCACCATTTTATTTTCACAACTTATTGCTATTTTGAGCAAAAGAAAATATGGGTTTGAAAGGCAAGTTGATCGCTTCACTAGAGGTGAGGGGTGGAGGACACTTGATTTTTGATATTTATCACACTAATACTCATCATGTATCCAATATAAGCCCTAGTATTGTCAATCATTTTGAGATTCATGAAGGTGAAATTGTAAAAGTTGGTTCAATTGTTAGCTGGAATTATAACGAAGGTAACATATATACATTTTCCCGCTCTCTTTCTCTATATATATGATTTACTTGCATCAATTTTCTATATTTCAAATGTTTTGCAGAAAAAAAAGTTCATGAAAAATTACTTTTGTCATATCAAACCTAATATAATGGAAATTATAATTTTCCTTACTAATTTCCATGTTCTCCCCAATGCAATCTATTCTTATGTTTTCAAGAAAGGTAATTCAATATAATAAGATATTAATTTTAATTGTTTAAATCTTTTACGATGAATGAGACAGTTGAACTAGGAGTAACATCTCTTGTATTTTTATTTTTTTTATTAATTTCAGATGGAAAGAAAAAGATTATGAAGCAAGTAATTGAATCCATCGATCCTCACGAAAAATCAATCAAATGGAAAGTGATTGAAGGCGATATGTTAGAGTTGTACAGTTTCTTTGCAATTGTAATATCTTGCGAACATGAGTGGACTACATGGACTTTTGTGTATGAAAAAAAAACCGAAGACATCCCAGAGCCCCTCAATTTCTTAGGTCTTATCCTTGACATTACCAAGCATATAGATGATCACCTTCTTAAGCAATAGAAGATCTATGTTGTGCTATATGTGTATGTACACACACATATACATATTTATTGTGTGTTTCTGTTTATGTGATGAATAATTTACAATATTGGCTAATGTTTGCTAAGTGTGAAATAAATAATATTGTGTTTGAAGAATATATTCTATGTATGTCAATCTCCTGTTATCATTTTCAGTGACCAAAATATGTAAGATATTATGTATTTAAGCCATTTTCCTTTATTTTTAAATGCTATATTATTTTTAGGGAACTTAATTTTTCAGATTATACTAATTACAAACTTGATAATATTTATTGTTATACTAAATTTATTAATAACCTTCAAACGGTTAGAGTTGGATCACCTAAAGGATAGTATAGGTTGGGTGTCAATCCCAATTTTAGGATGTGATAGTTTATTTGTTATTTGTTATTTGTTAGTTGTTAGTTGTTAGTGTTATTAAATTATATTATTAGGGTATTTCAAGTAATTTACTCTTCTATGAAAGACAAATATTGGAAGTTAATTACTTTTTTTTATTGGTTTCCATGCGGTGTTTGGAGTTTGTATTGAAGTTTTGATTAAATTCGAATCACGCATGACAGAGCTCACTTGGGGTAGCGCTCCCAATAGAATTTTTTTCATATCCAGGGTTCAAACTTGAGACCTATGATTAAGAGTTAAATAAAGTATAAAAAGGAAGAAGTGTGTGTGTTGACACACCTTATAATTCTATGACACATAAATTGAAACAGAACCAAATGAGTTCATGGAAGACACAAGTCTTCCACCTAAGTTACCTAACATACAAAACATCACCTATAAAACATTGCACTTGCATTTGTTGCATACTTTTCTTCATCTCTAGCCTCTTTTTTTCAATCTAGACATAAATACCCTCAAGAGAGCCCCCACCCCCTACCCTACCCCTACCCCAACTACCTCACACTATTTCCTCACTAACTTTTTTTCTCCTCCCCATTCTTTCTTCTTCCTACAACAAAAAAAAATGTTCACTAAACATCTCCCACTCTTACTTCTATTCTTGTCACTATTTCTCAACTTCATGGCATCAACCTTCGGACAAGTGTGTCCATATCCATGTTACCCTCCACCGACCGGCCCCGTAAACAACCCTCCGGTGGCTATAACCCCACCATATCCACCACAAGGTTCTAATTATAACAATTATCCACCACCAACAAGTGGTGGTGGTGGCGGCGGCGGCGGTGGTGGTTATAATAATTTCCCAAATTACCCTCCACCAAATAATGGCTATGTAAATGGTTTAGTGCCACCACCTCCTGATCCAATATTACCTTGGTGGCCTTATCATTATAGAAATCGTCCTGATCAATTCTCTTCATCAAATTCAATTCAAGAATCAAGAAACATGATATTCATCATGATCACTATTATTGTTCCAATGTTTTCCTTGTATTTCCCTTTGCTTTTCCATTAAGTTAGTTTCTTGTTGTAAATTTTCTTCTTCTTCTTTTTTTGTTTTATAATTGTGGTGGTCAGACTATTTTACGTATATCGTAATTATTTTATTTTGTATCAACTATCTTTCATCAGTACATATGTATTAAATAATATCATTAATAGAATTTTTTAGATGGATCAAAAGAAATTAATTGTCTTTCTTAGGTCAAATTTTATGGTTAAATTTTTGTGGTTCAGGGACGGAATCAGCTTTAAAGATATAGTTGGTTGGAATTCAGTAATTTTTGTTGAAATTGTATATTTATATTTTTAAAAAATTACTAATAATTTATTTAGAATTAGGGGTAAATTTAGAATATTAGGTGCTAGTTTTTGAGGGTTTATTAATTATTGCATAAATCTTATATTTATATTGAGGAATTTATTAAATGTATAAAAAGAAAAATCTCAATGCACTATTAGTATGTAGTGATCAATATATTTTCATTCATCTTTATTAGCTTTCGTTTGATCATAAATTAAATGTTGTTTAAAATTTTAAGTTATAATTTTTAGGGATAAGGGTCTGAAAAATATCTCAACTTTGGTCGAATTTGTTGTTGTGATACTAAACTTTCATGAGGACCTATTACCTCCCTAGACTATTTAATAGTGTAGTTTTTACCCCCTGAACTATTTAATAGTGTATTTTAAAGGTATATATGTGCCCACGTGGACACATTACTATTTATAATTTTGCATTATTTTTTATGACCACATGGGCAAATATATATGTTTAAAATACGGTATTAAATAGTCTAGGGAGGTAATAGGTCCTCATGAAAGTTTAGTATCGTAACAACAAATTCGACCAAAGTTGAGGTATTTTTTAGACCTTATCCCTAATTTTTAAGATTTAAAGTTATATATGAACATACAATTCACTTGAAAAATATTTCAAATTCTATGAGTTAAAGTACTAAAAACTCAAAAATTGATTTGAGCCGATTTCTAAAAATTTTAAGATATCTTAATATTAAAATTTTAAAATCTAAGTGAATTTAATGATCAAATGAAAATTTGGAAATTTTAATTTAGAAAGGAGTATTCTATGTATGGAAAGAGTGAGTTTTTTTCTCTCTTGATTTTGCAGAAAAAAAGGGGGACAAAAATGGGTGATGGAAGTAGAGAAAAAAAGATATGGCTGATGATAGTACTTCAAGTGTCTTGGCTTTACATCTTGTAATTTGGATGTTTCTATATTTCTCTTTTTTTTATCCAAAATTTTCTTTAAAAACAAATATGATAATTGCATCATCACATAAAAATATGTTTTGAGTTGTTAGACACACAATTGAACACTTCTAGTGATAAGGTTCAAAGAGTCCTCTAACCATCTAATTGGACCTACTTCTATCTTTTGTCTTTTATTAGGGGTTATTTTCTATCATATAACTTAAAATTGAGGTGTTCAAAAGTCTCAATCTCATAAAGGATTTTGCCCTTTTTTCCTATTTGGCCTTATTAAGCACTCTAAATATTTAAGTAACAATTAAAGCTAATATCAATTAAATTATGGCATCAATTGGTTAAATGATCTTTTATGATAGAGACTCTTTAGCCCCTTAATTAGAATAAGCTAATACTACTAATTAAGAGTCAATATGACTCTATATGAGTATTAAAACAAATGACTATGGTTGAGAGAGACCAAAAACCTACCAATACTAGTCTAATTTTGACATAACATTTTATTTATTAAATTAAAAGAAAAGAGATTAGTGTTAGTTCTTTCTTTCCTTTTCTTCAGTGTTAAAAAATAAGTTTTTTTTATTCATAGAGTGAGTATAAGATATTGGTGAATTGACAAAATTGCCATTTAACCAAATAAATTTGCTAATATTGTAGTACTATATTAGTGATTAATTTGGAGTTGTTTTTCTTTGATTTATGTTTTATAATAATAATCAGTATAGAAATGCGAAGTGGATGGATACCCGATTTTGATGTTGATATTTCACTTTGTACTTATTTTTGAATTTCTTTTTCTTCATGTGTTTCTATTTTGGGACAATTTTTTATATACGAAATATAAAATCAATTTTGATAATGTTAGAATTTTTATATGACAGATATTCGAACACATATGACTGAACTTTAACAATTTTTATTGAAAGTTTATACACATATATAGTTAAAGTTGAGAAAATTGGTTGAATTTGGGTAAAAACTGAAAGTCAAGAGGTAAGGGGGTGAATTGAAATTTTGCTCAGTCGTCTATCAGTAAGAGGTAATCGTTTTTTCCGCAGATTAGATTAACAAGCAAATTATAATGTTTAAGTATTGGAAATAAATAGAGACAAAAATTTTATACTCGTTCAGATCATAGATGCGGTGACTAGTCTAGTCTTTTTAGGTTATACGAGTTTCTTTTTGGAGCTTCTTGAAGATCTTGTGAGTATATAGTTATTGATTCTTGACTCTATTTGATTTTAAATCAGATTGACAATTTGACACAACTTCTACTTATATATCATATACATACTTTTTTTTTTCTTTTACAATTATAGACTCGAGAGAATACAGAGTTTTATGAAAGATTAAAGGATGATTTTATTCAAGTTCAATTTAAGTGCGTGATTTTCATTTGTTGGTATTGACACTATCATTTGACGTGTACCTATTTTTTAAAAACTATTTAAAATGCACTATAAGGTTCGTCTTCTTCTTCATCCTCCTCCTCGTCTTCCTCTTCCTCCGCTTATTCCTCCTCTTCCTCTTCCTCTTCCTCTTCCTCCTTCGAAGTTTGGTCACCATTTTTGTTTGTTGGTCTAATACAAATGTAAGTCCAAAAAGTTGGGCCTATTTAAAAGTTTATTTAAATGGGCCAGCTCTATGATCTCTTACTCAAGCCCAATTCATGAGAGAATGATATTTGAAAGGAAATACACATTTATATTTAGTTTGCAAATTGCAACAATACCCGATTCAAATAATAACAATTTTGTAAAATTCGATTTTTGAATTTCTTCAACAAATTGAAGCCTAATTTTCTATCTTATTTTTCAAGGACAAAACTTAAAACTAAAATAGGGACAAGAATGCAAATGATCCCATTTGTATCTCCCCTCTCTTTATCCTAAGGCCCAAGGCCCAAGTCAACTATTACTGTGTATAACTTTTATTTTCTAGCCACAATTTCGCACGTCTACAAAGCAATTGGACCACTATGAAACATAACATCAACGCAAATAAATATGGACAAATTACAGAAATCACATACTTTTAAGGCAAAATTATAATTTATCCCTTAAAAGTTTATAATTACAGAAATCCCTCATTTTCACGCATCAAATTAATGTATCAGCGCTTATATTATTGTATCTCGCGCATCAGATTAATGTATCAACGCTTATATTATTGTATCTCGCGCATGTATCAACACTTATATAGCTCTGATACATTAATCTGATGCACGAGATACAATAATATAAGCGCTGATACATTAATCTGATGCACGAGATACAATAATATAAGCACTGATACACTAATCTAATGCACGAAAATGAGGGATTTTGGAGATTTGTAAAACTTATAGGGGATAATGGTAATAAGTAAACTAAAATGTGAGATTTCTGTATTTTTTCCTAATAAATATTTAGGCTAAGACGTGAATATTTTGCTCTTATTAAAGAAATATAAGTTCATTGTAGTGTATTTGTATCGATCCAGCATAATAATTTTAGAGTTGTCCCTTTCAAGAAATAGCAATTTAATAATATTGTATAACTCAATTAGTTGAAGAGTTCAAAGTTCATTATTAGAACACATTCTTCAATATAAAATTACCTCTCTTTGTATAGTGAATAAGTTGGAGACTCAAAATATTTTTCTTTGTCTCAACTATACTAACCTCACAACAAACTACTCCCTCCATTCCATATTAATTGAATTTTTGAGATGTTTCATACCCTTCAGGAAAAGTAGATTAAGACATAAATTGAACATAGTTTTTTATTTTTACCCTTATTAATTATTGTCAAATTTATTGAAATCATCACATTGAAAATCCAAATGAAGGATAAAATTGGAAGAACACTCTAAAAGTAATCTTGAAAATTGAATAATTAAGTTAATTTAAAAAATGAAAAATGCCTCAAAAATTCAATTAACATAAATAAAGGGAGTACAATATTTTTTCATACTTCTCGAAGGGATTACGACTGCCTTCAAATTACCAAGACAAACACATGAAAGTAATTTATTTTTTTCGAACATCGTTGTCATGAAAAACAAAGTACATTTAAGGTGAAATAAAAAAGAAAATTGGAGAGGTGCAATAAAAAGAAAGTCATATATAAAATTTAGCTTTTAGAATGTGTTGTCCATTATGCTTTGGTTTTTAAAAGCACTCACTCTATTTTATTTCCCACGCGATGTTTAGTTTAAAAAGCGCTCCTAATAAAAGTAATTGATCTGTATTAAGGGGAACTCGAACCCAAGATCTCTGGTAAAGGATGAATGAGTACTTATCACTCTACTAGAATCCTTGTTGGTCCCTCTACTTTATATTACTAGGCCCGGTGTTGAAAGTAATTGTTTCAATCTACTTATTTAATTTATAAAATTAAGAGATTTTTTTTAGAAAAAACCTTTGATACTGATATAAATAACTAAATAAAATAATAGTCATTAAATTAGAGTTTTAAAATATTATTAATAAAGTCAATTAGTAAAATATATTTTTAATTTAAAAAATATCGCATTAACAAGAATCAAGTAATATAAAAAGATGGATAAGGTAGGGGCATATCTCTATCAAAGTCTTGAATGGTCCCATAGCATGTTTGTGGTTCACCCTACAATGTAACATGACACTCATTTCCTCTCACTTTCACACATGCATGTCACTTACTACTACATTTATTAAATTTAATTTTGTCAAAAAATTATTCAAAAACACTTCTAGTTTTTTTTTTTTTTAATTCCCACTATGTATTTGAAGCTCGCATTGGAGCCCTAACTTAATTCGAATCGTGTATTGCATGACCCATTAGGGAGTAACGCTTCCAACAAGATTTTCTTCATATCCAAGGTTTGAACCTAAGACATCTAGTTAAGAATAAAACAATTTCACCACTGCACCACAACCATGTTGGTCTTTTAGCTTGTTTCGATTGAACATTTGAATATAACATAACTTATCCTTGTTAATCAATATTTAAAATATGTCACCTTGTTAGTTATACACATTTATTTCAATAAGTAGTGAACCCTCGAACCTATTTCAATTGATGTTAATATATATAAATATCGGAGAAAATATATATAAGTGATTAATTTATTCACGTAATGAGTGCGTGAAAATACGTGCAAAATTAACGGGATTGGTTCCTTGAAGGGATGTTGGAGAATAAAGCCATGCACACGAGGACACAACCATATGTTTATTTTTAATTGGAAATATATTATTATTCAATACATTTACTTCTAATGTGTTTTTACTTCCTCTTATTTTGTAATAGAAATTGACAATGTGCATTAAAATAAGTGATCATATTGAGCATATATATATTTAAAATTAAATTACAATAATGAATTTCTCAAACACTTCAGTATATGATCTTTACTCGTGTTAGATAGCCTATTATGTGTTTTCCAAACAAGTTGTTTCGAAATTAATAATAATAAAATTGTAATATTGAGTCGATTATACTTTATTGATAGATATTTGATTTCTTAGACTGAAAATGAGATATAAGGGGTTAATAAAAACACGTGTTTGATCTAAAGTAATTAAATAAATTGAACTACGCTTAATTAATGAATCTCGAATTTTTATTTCACCTTCAATGGGGAAATAACATCACATGCAATTATGATAGAACTAATTTGAAAATTAAAAACTTAACCATATATAAAATATATTAATCTCGTATATAAACTCAAGATTGTATTTTCCTATTTCACGAACCAAATGATGACATATATAATAAATACTTGGGTCCATCCATGTCCACAATATAGCATATTCTTATAATATCGACCTGGCTTTCCCCACAACTTGCAATAATACCATACACACACCATGCATTGTTTGGCTTCAATAACTTTCTTGTTTCCCTAAATCCTTATCCCACATGTCCATGGCATGGAAGCCACATGAAAAAGGACCCCTCCCCCCCAACCACCCCCACGAGTGACAATGCATACTGTAGTTGTTTGCGGAGGCGGATTCAGAATTGGAAATGTCGGTCGAACATTTTTTTTTCTTCAAATAATCTTACTATGAATTTGAGATCGATCTCTTTGAATGTTAGAATCGAAATAAATAGGTGTTATGCGTATGCTAGCAAAATAAACCTGAGTAAGAAGACAAACGAGAAATATATCAAAAGACACAATGATTTAACATGGTTCAATCACTTCGATCAATCGACTTACCTCCACAAGAGGAGATGAGCAATTCACTATATAAATATAAGAGTACAAAATATAGAAAGGAATAACCTCACACAATTCACTCGGAATACAAAGAAGTTCACAAAAGTGATAACGTATCACTTGAGTACCATAAATTTTCTCCCTAAACAAAACTCTCAAAGCCTCAAGGACGTACTACATTGGGATCAAACTCTCTGAAATCTAACCAAAAAAAAAGAAGCTAGACGACTACTTAAATGTCAAAAAATTAAGATTTTGAAAAAGGCAAAGAATCGAACCCAAGTGACACTAAAACAAAAAGAGACATTTAGTGTTAATAAATTTTTCCTCTAGCGGCAATCTTATTTATTGCCGTATAAATATTTAACGGCAACTGAGTTAAAATCATTATATTCAGAGTCGCTAAAATTCTTTAACGCTAATTATATTGAGTGTTGATAAAATCTTTTATTTGGTTGTGAGCCCCTTAAATGTCCACGCGTGCATCCTAATCAATTAGTGGAACCATGTTACTCTATTATTAGAGATGCCAATACCAAGATAATTTTTAACCACATAAATATTTAATGCTTAATTTATACCATAGTTACGAAATAAAAAAAATAATTGAGTTACTATTTTTGTCTAGTACAGACTATGTACGAAAACAAAGCATAATGGGGAAAGGGACCCTGAGGTGTCAGTATGACAAGAGATACAATGCCAGTCCAAAACAACCAAATCCAGCAATTTTCCTTAGAGGATCAAATAGTGTTTATATAATTAATAATGACTAATTTTCGTGTCGAATGAATTATCGAATAAATAGATCAGATTCGAACACAACTGATTAAGAAGAGTATGTATAAAGCAACATTTCTCCTAAAAAGGTACTAATAGTTTAATAATTTATGATGTATTTACAAGTGTTATGGTTCAAATTTGACATCTAACCGTGAAAGGATACGAACAACAACAAAGTACTATATGTTGCTCGTTTTCAGTGCACACACAAATGTACGTAGTTGTGAAGTAGTACAATGATTGCTTCTCCAATTGCATATGATCAAATGAACTTATTTGATGACAAGTGATATCGATTTTACTGGTTATAGTTATAAAGATAAATATTTGTTTGTTTATTCTACTTTTAAAACTAAAGACAAGAAAAATACTAATGATGTTTGATTTCGTAGAAGTTATGTTGTTTCACAGAGAAAACGGATCCTAGGGCTTATGGTTAGTTTTTGGTGTAATTTCATTATATCTATACTTTAATTAGTTGATATGATAAGTTATATCAAGTCGTTGAATCACAAGATTGATATTATAGTTATGGTTTCTCAGACCTCAAATCGTCTAGCTAGGGTAATCTCATATGTATATTATTGTTAATTAAGTGATGATATTCATAATTAATCAGAACACATTCATATCTCTCGTATGGGAGCCAAGAGAGCAAACTACATATGATTTTCATCTTAACCGCAAATCACATCCTATTTCGATCCTTTTAAGTTTTAACCCACATTCTATATTATCTTTCCTCATTTCGACTTATTCTATTAGCAATTATTCATTTATCCTAATTGTTGCTTAAGCAATAAAATAACAATATATAACAAAATCAGAAGGACAACTTATATGGAAGAAAACAAAGAATTATGAATATCACAATAAAATAACAATATATAAATTATTCATTTATCCTTTTCCAAAGTTTAGTATCGTTACAATAATTTCGGTCAAAGTATTGTGTTAATATTATACTTTGTCCATAACCATAGGAAAAGAATGATTATTACTCATAATCATATCATGTTTGTAGCAAGAATTTTAAAAGTTATGTTAAATCCTAGAGAGTATAACACAAAATTTACATTAGACACGAAAAATAGATTAAAATTCAATAAAAATTATACTTTAAAAGATTGCACCGGACTCTAGAAATAAACAAAAACAACAGAAAATACGAAAAAAAAATGCATCTCTAATATCTAAAGGTGAGTTCCCACTAAATTCTTTTATTTCACAATTTTCATCAAATTTGACAGAGAGAATTTATTAAATATTTGACAAATATCAAAAGTCTCATTTTGACGAATTTAAAAGATCAAAACTATTCGAAAATATTTATATAAAATAACTACTTTTAATCTACCACAAACACAAGGGACCATAGTTGCGAAAAAAAGAGAGGTATAAATGATCCACTTATAATTAAGTAAAGATACTTTATATTTTTGCTTTCTCATCATATCCATGTTTGTTCCCTCTTCTTTTTGCATATTTATTGTTTTTTCTATTTATGAGATGGAAGCTTCATATCTTTTCAAATCAATTATTGACAAGCTTTAACTTTGAATGATAAAATCAATACGCATTGTGGTGCAGAGATGAGATTGCTTCATTTTTAATCAGAGGTCTTGGGTTTGAGTTTCGAGTATGAAGAAAATCCTATTGGGAGCGCCATCCTCAAATAAACCCTATAATGTGCGATCTTGATTTAGTCGGAGCTTCAATGCAGGCTTCGAATACGAGGTGGGAAACAAAGAAAACTTTGAATGCTAAAACTCTTTTTTTCAAAACATCATTTTCACAACTATAAGAAAAGAAATCAAACTCTCTCTATATATATATACTATAATGACTTACATTAATGATTGAAATAAAAGGGGAGTTAAATAAAGAAGAAAGAAAACATATCTAAAAATTGAAAATCAACCATTGCTCTACATTAAAAAGTCAAAAACTCAAAATCAATCTCAATTGTACATACAAATTGTTTTGAACTTTCTTCTTTTTACAAATTATGGAGAGAAACTAGACTATTATCATCAATTTTGCCTCCTTGTCCCCTTCATACTAGACTAATCCCAATTTGTTTTTCCTCCAATTTTGACTAATTGGATGAAATGTTTTCTTAATTTCTTCAAAATAGAGACAAAATATCCTTAAATCAAGGATCTCAAACTAATTTAAGTCAAACATGTTGTCTAAGCTCCAAATGCTTGGGAGTACTCTTCATAGTCCATAGATAAGATAATTTCTATCTAATTCCATATTGACATGAACTCTTCTACTCAAAATCCCTCTTGTTTCGAAATATCCGATTCATCGCGTAGTTGATTATGTATATGAACTCAATGAATTAGGAGATCGGTGCTAGCTTGATCATGTTCATCGCGTATAGTTCACTATGTCTTGACTCGATCAATCAAGAAACTGACACGCTAGCTTGATGTTGACTTATAATCCAAGAATAATATAGTAGACTAATGTGATTGGTAATGCAATCAACATTCCAAAAATAACCCTGAAATTCCAAAAAAGATAAAATACTCTATTATTTAGGAATTTAAAATATAGAATTAACATTCAAAAAATTAACTAGGGGAAAATTCACTTACGCAGTACTAAGAATAGCTGGATGAACATTGTACTCCTTAGCAAAAACAAATGGAACAATCCCTTGTGGCAATGCAGCCTAATTAATTAACACATGACATTTCAAAGAATTTTAGAAAGAATTTTAAACAATTATTATAAAACTAGAATGAAAAAAAGGGAAAACATAATTAATTTCTTCAAACTCATAATGAAGTGTAGTAGCTCTTTTTACTAATATCTGATATATGAATCATTACTTAATTTATTTAAGAGAATGTCTATCACGATAGCTTGTTATCCGGGTCTTTTAGGCGTTGACACATCTCCAATTTCAAAAATATAAGAGTAGATCGTGTCATCATTAAATTACAGATTTGATAGAATTCATTCAGTAACTTGACTCAAACTTTGTAGTTGTATTCGAAATGTTATTTAACATATATAAATCTAAAACTCGAGTATAATAAAAAAAAAGAGTTAAATTTTTTAAAACTTTTATAAATCAAAATTCTGACTCCGTTATTACCTGGACAATCGCGACATGGAGGAGTGTACCACGTAAGCCAACGATAATAGAAGCGGCAGCCATAACTGCTGGGCCAGTAAGAAATCTTACTGCCATTGCAAAAGTAGCCACCGTGTTCCCACATGCTATTATCTTCGGTTGAAGGGCCATAAACAAACCTACCACACAACATGTTCAAAAATTCGATGAAATTTAAATTCATGTCGAAAAAATTAAAATCGTCATAAAAATATTCCCTACCAAATATAAAATCATACTCAAAACTCAAATTTTCAACATTTAGTTAAAAAAACCAAAAAAAAAAATTTAGTCACAATTGTTGCTGGTAATTTCAACGTCTACTCTTATAGTACTATTTGATCGACTTCAACATTACCATATACTTGTACACTCTTTTTTTAGATTCTTACGTCGAAAGAGGGAATTATAAAATGGAAATCGAACTCTCGCCAATCAAGTAAAAATTTAGGTATACCAATTGTCAAATTTGACTACTCACCTAAGCTAAACATAGCCATTCCAAGTCCAGCGTCAGAGAGAATAGAGATTGATTTCTCTATTATTTTAGGCATATGCACATGCCACCTACAAAAACACGACAAAAACAAAACTTAATTAATTAATTTAAAAAAAAAAAAAATTGCCCTAATTAATTTAAAATGTTTAAAGATTAGTGGAAATTAATAATTTTATTAATCTATTAATTAGCTTACCTATACGAGATTAGGGACCAAATCAAACCAATGAGACTCGAATACGTGTTCGGGTTTCGGATAAGCTTACGCCAAACCATGATTAAAATCAAACGAGTCATAACACTTGCCGGAGGCATTTGTTTTCCGGTACCGGAATCTTGGACTCCGGTAGCCCCGGTGTGTAGTCCGGTGAGACCCTCTTTTTCTTCTTTCTTTTCCTCTTTATTCTTTCCATCACCACCACCAGCACCATCAAAGCTGAATTCCTCGCCACCAAAATCTTGGGAAATGACTGCAAGAATATATATAAAAAAATCAAATAATATAAAATGGTTGCGATAAATTGATCGTCAACAAAATACCGTAAAAAATAAAAAATAAAATATACCTTTATTATCCCCAATTTGAGGGTGATCAGATACCAACATTCTAATTTCTTTAGCACCATCAGACTGACAAGATTGTTCGTTGGCACTAAAATCCGTGCCACCGAACACATGGAGGCCTGCGGCCTCCGACACTGGTGAAGCACTAGAGCTCCACACAAACATGTGGAGCTCCTTAGCATCATGACTAGCTTTACCATTCTGTTGTTGTTGCGGCTGGTGCTGGTGCTGCGAATGTACTTGTAATTGTTGTTGATTTTTCGTGTTTTTAGGAACTATAGAAGCAATTTCCGGATTTGGGGCTGGATAATTAGACTGTGCAGGGTAAAACCCAAATTTAGGGGAGCTCGTTAGAGCTCCCTGAGTACAATTTTCCTCGAAATTAGATTGTCTAGGAGTTGAATCAACCGGACCAAAATTCGATAACCTTCCTGGAAACCCCATCATCGCGTAGAAATCAGTATGATTGAAATTCGACCCTCGTGGGGTCGGATTCTAGACGAATTCAAGCTATAAATTTCAGCCCCAGTAAGATTTGACGGTCTAGGTGTCATAGCAAATGACCTTCTAGACACATTCGACTTACGTACCGTGACATGAAGTTTCCCATCTTGTCCCAATTCAGCATCAGTTTCAAGAAAATCTTGTCCATCTAACGAAACAACATCAGATTCAACCTTAAATGAAACAATTTCCCCTGCTGTTTCTGGGAATTGTTCCATGATCAACATCTTAGCACCGCGAAATTCGAATAAAAATAACAATAATGTATACCATATTATACATTGTAACACCACAACTTGTACCATTAAACTACCTGAATACTCACCATACATAGCTATCAATAATGGAATTCCCATAACAAGTGTATTTGGAAGTGTCGAAAGAGAAAAAATTGTTATACTCCATTCAAGACTTCCATTTTTTGTCACGTTAGACCAAATGCATAACACTATTAACATGATTACTTTTTGTAGTGTGTCAGCTGCAATGAATCGAAAATTCATTTCATATGGATTGTTCATAGAAATGAAGTGAAATGACAATAATGGGACCGCGAAAATGGCTACAAATCTGTTGATCCCTGAGCATTGGTCCGGTGAGAAGATTTTCCACCACCGGACCGAGCCGTAGGCTAAGATCATGGCGACATATAGAGGAACAACGGCTGTCAAGACGACGTAAAGATCATGCCAACTTATCATTGTTTGTGATTTGGGAGAAAATAGAAAAGAAATTAGTTATTTTAGTTTGTTTTTTGGGAAGAAAGATGAAGTAGAAAGGATAATAGAGAGAGTGAAGTTACATAAGGATGTATATGTAATAAGAATAAGTAGACTTATATATATATATATATAGGCAAGAGTGAGTGTGAGAGAATCTGGTGAAGCGATAATCACTCTTTCATTTTTATCGGAAATTTCGAGTTTAAATTTTAGATATGAAATTATTGGAGTATTTCACTCCTTAATGTAAAACTTCACGGTGGTCAGCTTCAATACAAGTATTGGACATTAAATGAGAATATGTCATATTTAAAACTGCAAGATTAAATGTCATTTTGATATATTTGACATCTCTTTAATTTAATACCATGAATTTTTTAAAGAAAATCTTACTTTTTAAAACTTTTTATTAAATCAAAATATAAGAAATAAATTAAATTTTAAAAAAATTAATTAATTGTTTTTTTTTTTTTTTTTTTTTACAATTTTTATGTCCAACCACCCTCTAAGTATGGGAAGTGGGGTGATTGAACTGGAATTTTAGGACAAAGTAGTAGGGGCCAAGGGATGTGGACAAAAGAAAAAGAAGATTTAGCTTAGCTTATATACACATGTTATAGCATATAACATGTCTTGCTTTTTCTGTTTTCATATTATTAATAATTCAACTTTTATAAAGTTATCTATAACAATAACAATAATAATAATAATAATAATAATAATAATAATAATAATAATAAATATTATTATTATTATTATTATTATTATTATTATTATCTTTTAGACGACTAAATAATACATTAAGCGAAAAAGAAATTATATTATCAATATATAGCAGTAAAAATTAATACTCAATTTCAATGTGTTTAGTCATTATTATGATTTATGGGATGTGATAAAAAATGTTTTTACTTACTACTTCCTCTGTCCCTAATTATTTGTCCACTTTTGAATTAACACACCTATTAAGAACGCAAATTATTGACATAGTAAGTTTACCATTTTACCCCTATTAATTATAAAGTGGATGGATTAAAAATTTAAGATTTTCAAGAAATTCTACCTTTTTCAAAGTAATTAATTGAGAGTATAATAGGTAAAATTATTTTGTCCTTTCTTGATTTGTCAAAATAGACAAGTAATTAGGGACAATTATAAAAGAAAAAGTGGACAAGTAATAAGGAACAAAGGGAGTATAATCTTTTCCAAAAATATATGTAATTATAAAATGGAATATTATATTCTTTTAAAAATTAAACTTAATTAAAAAGTTTGAGAAATTCTTTCTCGAACTTTGGAACTAGTCCTTTTTTTTTTTAGAAATATAGAATAAATAGGTTTGGCATGGGAATGAGAGTGACAGGTATTAGATTGGCATGGGTTGTCTGTTATAATTCTATGTATATTTATAAAAATATTTTATGATATTATTCTTTTCGACTCAATTTATATGATGATATTTGATTATTTGGGACATATGATGAATCTAAAGTTCTATTTTTGCATCTTCTTAATCAAGTCGTCTAATTACCTGGAGCTTCTTCAATGAAAACATGATTATGTCGAAATTTTGGTTATTTCATTTTTTTCGAATGATTTTGCGTTAGCATTAACTGTATTGTTACTCTTTTTTAGAAAGTATCACATAAATTAGAATAAATGAAATACGAAATTAAGCGCCAAATTCCTTCTTAGCACAATTAAATTTCTGCATTTGTTAAAATTAAATGCCAAATTCCTTATTCTAGATTTACTTTTTGGATAATCAAATACAAATCTTCTCCAACTTATTTGTCAGACGCCTTGACAACTCATATTATTTCCTAGTGTACATGGTCGGTTTGGTTCGGATTTTTCAAATATCAAATTAAATTATTTGTGTTGAATTTTTAAATTTATAAACCAAATCGAACCAATTTAAGAATCTTGTGAGAGACGTTAGATGATGATCCAAAATGTGTAAGTTATTGCAAACATTTGACAATAATCTAATATATTATCTACAAGGTTAAGCATTATATAAAAGTAAATATTAGATCAAGTCTAAAATTATTTTTAAAAAAGTAACTTTTAAATGTCTATAATTGACATCACTTTTAATAATAATAACAAAATTATACTAGTAACCTAAAAGGAGATATATTCGTAGATCAATCAATAATATTATCACATTATATAAAAAGTATTATTTTAATTTATTTTAACCTACCATAGGAATGTTAACTTGCCTTCTTCTTTCTTTAATTTCCTCCTTTTTTGTCCATTTTAGGTGAAAGTTTGGTGTAATATATATAATAATAACAATAATAATAATAATAAGTGCTGTAAAGTGAAAGAAGGGGTCCTCAAGCTGCAAATTATTGAATAATAAAGTAGACTCTGAAAATGATATTGGCCAATAAATTCAATAATTGGTCAAAAATTGAGGGGGCAATCAAAGATTAGAAATTTGTTAGGGAATTTGTTTGGATTATTTATTTTAACAATATTTCACGTGCAATAATTTTGGTGAATTTAGGCCTTTTCCGTGACTTTTGTTTTTTGCTTTTTGGTCCACAATAGGAGTAGCAATCACACTCTTGTGTTAATTTGCTTTTATTATATTTTTCTCATATATGTAACTTTGAAAATTTTGTGTTGATATCCACATTTAGAAAGATTTTTCAGGTTATCAATATGAATTGTGATGACCAACCAGAGTCGCAGTGGAATGGAATAATAAGTATTCTTTCATTTTTAATTAGAGGTATTAGGTTCGAGTCTCCCTACAGGTGGAAAACCCAAAAAAAAAACTTATGGATATGTAGTGGATGGTTAAAATCTATCTCCATTATGAATTACGGGAAATGAAAAAAAAAATCCAATATAAATGTCGGACATGAGTAAGAAATTTAAAAAAAAATCATGCTAATTTATCATACAATATGATAGTTATTTTTTCTTCTAAGAAGGAAAAATATTAGAGATAATTTTAATATCTCGCAAAGAAAGAGAGATAATAATAACAATAGCTCCTCCAACTTGAAGTATGTCAAATTATTGAATTGTTTATATGAATTCTCACTGATCATATTTTCGAAAGACGATGGTAATTTTAAATTTATTTATAAACTAAAAATGTCACATTCACTTGTATCAAATGAAACATTTCTCACTTCACATAATTGGTGTGTGCCCTCAAAACAGCCCTCGACAAAAGTTCCACTTATCTTTTTCTCTTATTGACTTGTATTTATACAAAAAAAAAGAAAAGGAAATGTACTTATCCAAAATATAAGAGGGGTTTTTCATTTATTTATTAATATTTTCGATAAAAATAAATTAAATCGTATTGTTTAGAGAATATTTATATGTAATCTATAATAAAAAAATACTAATTTCATTAAGATTAGCTCTATTATGGTTTACTAGTTAAATATATATGCATTATTTTGTATTAAAAATATATATTTACCGATTGTTCTTTTAATGAGTGGATATACAATGTAGTTTTCCCACCCACCAGATCCACCCCTGATTTTTTAAGCAGACATAATTTACTTTAATAAATGTTAGCTATGTATTAAACCACCATATTATAAGTAATAAATCCAATAAGATAATTGTATACAATTTATTAATTGTTTATTGTTTGTCCGCTAATAATATTGAATTAGGTCTTGACACGTGAAGGATGATATCCAATTGAACCCCTAAATTCAGTGATTAATTAGCCCAAATTCAGCAATAATGTTGGCAAATTAACATTAATACACATGCATTTCTGCACCTAAATCAATAAAAAAATAAAATCACCCATGAAACTCTATGATTGAGTAACATTACCATATTGATAGAAAATGTAACACTTTTTTGCTTCTAAATATCTTCCTCAAACCCTGGTTTGGTACGAACAGAAATATTTTTCATAATTTTTTTTAGAAGATAATTAGTGATATATTTATTTATTTTTATTTGAAATGTAAGTATATTTTTTTTGCTATATAATTTAGGCAATTACTATAAGGATGAGAGGAAGGTAGGAGTGTGAGAGTGGTGCGGAAGGAGGATATGGGGCAGGGAAGTGGGGGTGGAGGTGGTGTGTGTATGTTAGAGGGTGGGAGGAGACGATAAATGTAGAAAGTCATTTATTAAATTTGTGTTCCCAAAACTTCAATTAGAGAAGTTATATTTTTTTAATTTCGAGAAACTTGTTTTCTTAAAAGAAAATATTTTTCATTTTTTTGATAAAATCAAATATAAAAAGAATTATAAACTATTTTTCTCGGTACCAAACACATCCTATATTTACATATCAATATCTCAATTTAAATTTTAAAAAATGGTCCAATTAAATAAATTTGTTTTTATATATATATGTTAGTTGACTAAGTGAGGACTATTCCTTCCAAATTTTATTAATTAATGAAAGTAAAAAACTATTAAGGTTCTACATATGAGTTGGGGGGTTAGTTAGCTTATACAACCTTGAAGAATAATATCTCATATGGGGATTTCAATTCGATTTTATTGTTAACATAATCTCTAATCACACGGGTTAAATCCAATGTTTTTGGTTTAATTACATTTTAAAAAAATTTCATTTGATATTGATATGGGGATACCAAACGATGTCATACTAATTCGAGCACACCAATCATCGTTGGAGCATATATATCGAGGGAGGCTAATATAGTGTCAGACCTATTAGCAAATACGGAAGAAAGTCAAAGGATCCGAATATGAAAAGTAGTCAGTGTTATGTTTTTGAAGCATCTCCTTCTTTTGTATAATTTGCTCTCGAACGAGATGTTGTGGGAACTACATCATTCAAATTAGTTCCTCAATTGTATGGATAAACCTTATTATTAATAAATAAGATCCTTCCGCTCTTTTCTTTAAAAAAAAAACCAAGCACCAATGCACCATAATCCATATGATTGATTTTGGAGATGTAGTTTCTATGCTCATGAGTTGGTATGATTCTTGACCTATTTCATTCTTAACGTTGTATTAATTAGATATTGTTATCAATAATTAACAATGTTATCGTCTTTATATTGGATTTACATTCACTTTTTGGGTGATTTTGCTACTATTTATGATTGGTTCGCTCGATAAGGGACTGTTGGATATCAGTTACAATGCTCGAGAATTTTTGAGGTATTGAGAATCTTAACCAGAAAAATATAATCAATATTTCATACTACCGACCTCAACTTAATTATTTGAGAATGATCATGTTACTATAGTATTTTTTTTAGAACAAAAATAGTTGTTAAATGTGTGAACAAGGTGAAATCAATCTTATCTCTAGCTATTTAACATGTCCAAAAGTCATTTGATTCATAGAATTGTCTATTCATGTCCAAACATTAATAGGTTTTAGTTGTCTTACAAAAATTTAAAGTAGGTCCCTTGTCTACTTCAAAGCCCTTTCAATGAGGGTAACAACTTTTTGGTGTTCACTTTTGAATGAGAAATTTACAACAAGTAGACATACATAATAATTGATTGGTACTATAGTTTTACGTCTCAATTTCATGTTCAAATATTTATTTTCGATGGATGCGTCGATAAGTTAGGTGAACTTCATCGTCGTGGTGGACTCTAATGACAGGTGTTGGAAAGGGTGGAGGTAGGGGCTCAAATTTTATTTATTAAATTACATCTTGAATTCTCTTTCCATATTTATTTTTTATATTTTATGAATTATTTAATAAAGAAATTAAATACTTTCCTTTTCTTTTCACTTCAATTCTTTCAAAAAAAAAATTACAAGTAATATAACCATAATAATAACATACTTGAGAGTTTATTTTCGATAGATGGTTTGTTTAAGGAAAAATTACTTGGATGAGTATCTTTTAATAAATAATTACTGATTTTAGCGATACTTTTTATTTATTACCATTTACAGCAATATATATCAATATCATGCTAAATCTGCAATATGTATTAAAAGTGAATTATGTATGCAATATATATGTATTATAACTGTTTTTAAAAAAAAATATATTATGCTTGTTTGGTAAGAAATTGACACATTATATTATAAGTGTATTAAAATGTGTGATAAATGTATTATCCATCAATAAAACTTGTATTATATGCGAATAATGAATAGTTTTTTGTAATATATATTAAAACTGTATTATAAGTGTATTAAAAGTGATCAAGTAAAAAACACTATTATTGCTATAAATTGTAAATATTTTTTTAATATAGTATATTTATGTAAGTTTCCCTTTAAATAAAGCATTTAAAAAAAAAAAAATGAAAGCAAAAACTTTAAAAGTTATTGCAAAAGATAAAATTTGACATATATAGTAATGAGGAATTTTCACATATAGCCACTCAAATTATGCTCTATAGTTATAGTTTGCTAATTACGATTCGTAGCTACATGTTAGAGGAAGGAGAGAGAAGAGTGAGATTGGGAGAGGGAGGAGAGAGGTGAGCAAGAAAGGTGAATTGTATATGTATAGCTGTCAAATAATTGTATGTATGTAACTGATATAAATATATATTTGTATATCTGGCAAGTGAGATTGGGAGAGGGAGGAAAGAGATGAGCGAGAGAAGGTAGAGAGTGGAGAGAGGCGAACTGTATATGTATATTTATCAGATAATTGTATATATGTAATTATATACATATGTATGGGTATATCTAGCGAGTGAGATTGGGAGAGAGAAGAGAGGCGAACGAGATTACCCCTGAACTCAATCACTTGATGTTGTCACTCTTCAGTTTTCTATTGAGGTCTATCGGGAGAAGGAGAAGAGAGGCGAACGAGATTGTGAGAGGGTGGATAGATGAGCAAGAAAGGGCAGAGAGTGGAGAGAGGCTAATTGTATTTGTATATCTGTCATATAATCGTATATGTACACATATATAATTTGTATATGTATAAAAGAGGAGAGAGGAGACGTAATTACAACTAAATTAAGATGCAAGTCGTAATTAATTCAAACTATAACTATGCTAGCTAATTAACCAGCATATATTTGTTTATGCATATAATTTCCCCTATAATACATTATAGTTTTAAACGGGGGCAAGGGGGAGGGATTACAAGGTAAGAATCAAATCATCACCAATAAAATAGGAGTTCTGGTAACCAACTGATTGAGTCATTTCCCCATAAAAACGATAACTAGCTTATTGGCCTTTGTACTTTTGTCATTCTTTTCTGGATACATGAACTATGTATTCTTTTTTATTTATAGAAAAAGATCAAAAATACTATTCAACCCCGCAAAATCAAACAAAAATATCATTAATTAATAATTTGATCTAAAAATAGCTTTACCTCCAATGGTTTAGTACAAAAATTTACCTTTTCTCAAAGGTTTGCCTTAATTTTATTTTCTTAATATTAATTCTCGATATAGTAATTTTGTCCCAAAAAAAAAAAAATTACATATATAAAGAGAGGGAGAGTGTGTGTCATTGTTATTATGATATAGTTTATATTTTATGTTTGAATATTTATAATTGATATACTCTTAAATATTGTGTTTTACGTTTTACTTGATATATATTAGGGGTGTGCAAAAACCGATTTAACCAATAAACCGAACCGAAAAAAACACTATTGGTTTATTGATATTGGGTTATTGGGCTAACGGTTTTTAAACGGTTTTACAAATTTTTTTATTGGGTTATTGGTTCGGTTTTCGGTTTTATAATTTTTGTTAATGGTTAAACCGATAACCCAATAAGACTATACTAAATTTACTAGTCTTATTGTTAATGGTTAAACGATTGTTACTTTCACACTTTTTGTTAATGGTTAAACGATTGTTACTTTCACACTTTTTTCTTTGAATGTGTCTAGTGTCTAAACTTGCAAGAAAAATGATTGTTACTTTTATGATTATTACTTTCATGCCAAATGCTGGAAAAATCATATGGTTTATTTGAAAATTTTCTTATCGTGTATATAATATATATGAGTATTTTCTTATTGGTTAAACCGAAAACCGAACAGTTAAGTACCATAAACCGATTAACCAAAAACCGATAAGAAATATGTTATTGGTTTGGTTATCGGTTTGAAGTATTTACAAACCGAAAACCGATAAACCGAACCAATAACACCTAAAATCGAACCGACCGATGCGCACCCCTAATATATATATTCTAAATATAATTTTCATTATGTTTCTAATTATTGCATAACTGAATCACTAAATTGAAAAAAAAAAACAAAAAAAAACAAATCGAACCAAATTTATTTTGATTCGAATTGAGTTACACCAAATAGTATAATACCAAATCAAAAAATCAATTTTTCACACCCATAGTTTTAACTCATCAAGACGAAGAGAAATACTGAATACTGTCATCTGCCGCGTCGCTTCCCCTTTGGCGGAGCTGAAAATCCGGTAAGCTTTCTACTCTCAATTCTCATTTCTTCAATAATTTCTCTCAACTATGAATATTGGGCCATTGCTAATTTCATTGCACAAATTGCTACAAAACAAAATATGAAGCTTGAAATTATTGGAAGAAGAATAAAACTTGCCAATTTGAATTTAAAAAACTTTTTTCAGATTACGTTATGATACTAAAAATCAACACCTTTTTGGAATTGGAGCATCCCACGGTGTTATTTTTTTTGTGTGAATTTTTACTCTATTTGGCTGATTCATGTAGTTTTCTGTGTTATCCATTGAAGTTTTTCCAATTTTGTGGTATTTGTTAGTTGAGAGTTGGCCCTCTTTGGTATGAATTTTAGCTTGTGGTTTTATTAGGAAAAATGAAATGGGAACTTATGCACACAACCTGTTCGATGAAATGTCTTATTCGAGTTGGATCACTCTGTAATGCTACCAATAATTGTACTAATCCAATCGCATATGTCTTTCTCCTATCAAAAGGAAAGAAATAGGTGAAATGTATGTCCGGTTCCTAATCCTAGCTTTATAGACGTATAATGTCAGAATTTGCACCGATTTGTATCTATTTAGTGATCACCTCGCTAGTTTCTTTGATCCCACTTTGTCTTCCTTTTCTATTTTCTTCCAATAGTTTGATCTATCCCGAAAATTGTCAGTCTACGAATGTGGTTACGATCCTTCTAGTTTTTTTATAACCATGGTGTCCGGGCCAGCTATCACACACCTCGATCAAGCTCCCACCAGCAACAAGTACCAAGTAACTTTGTCTACCAAGGCTAGGACAAATGAGAAGAAATCACCTCATATTCTCAATCCGTTTTGTTGACTACTAGGCCACACCCTTGAGTGTGCACCTTCTTGACTGATTTGGTTATGGTCCTTATGGAAAAGCTTGTTCTTTAATGACCCTCTACAGTTTTGTCTCATTATTTGTTGTGTTGTGTCTTCGTGGTTTGGTTGCTCTAATTCGATAAAACTTCTTTTAGACTCCTGATGAGATCAAATTTTCCCAATCCTAATGAAGGTGGAAAGTGGGCAGGTCATGTTCAGTCTAACATTCATGTAGCTACTAGCTTCTTTTTTGTTGAAGGTATTTCCGTGCTCAGCGGATCAATACAAAATGTGGCGGCTGTATGAAGGATGGAACGACATTTTGAAGATCCAAAAGTTCCGGAGAATTGTGTCCTATACTGGATTCTATTGCTTCGTTACAGTCATCACATATGCGTACACCAACAACACGTGAGTGTTTATGAGTTTTTATTGCTTATTTCTAGCCACACTAAGAAGTTAAACTGGTAGCTTTCTGTTTTTTCGGAGAATTGCTAAAATAGATTTAACGTTTGATCATTATAATCTAGATAGCTGGTTATAATCATCTTTTGCAAATCTGCTTTTATAACACGCCGAGATATATACCTTGGCTTCAAAGCATCTTTGTACAAACCTCTGGTACTCACGCAGCTGTAGTTAGAGATATGTTGTTTCTAATCACTATGTCGGTTTGCGTATTGCAGTACTAGAGCGGGGTACTCGAGAGCTGACCAATTCTATGCTTCGTATCCAGCTGGTACAGAGCTCCTTACTGACACAGCTAAGGTCTGTCTGATTGCATGATGATGGAAAGTTCCGATTATCATGGTTTTCCCTTTCTTTCCGGTTACTGATTTTTATGGAATTTGACTTTTCTTTTCCATTCTTAGCTATATAAAGCAGCGTTGGGGAATGTTTTTGAAGTGGAAGAATGGGGACCAGTCGAATGGTCCGTCCTGGCTAAACATTTTGAACGTCAAGGAAAATCACCATATGCATATCATGCTGTAAGTTGATGATGAGATATTCGCGTTGTTACTATAATTCGTATGCCTAACTTACTTTTCACATAATGTGATAGCAGTATTCTTTTCCTGTTATACATAAAAGCGAAATCTCTTTTCATATGCTAGTTCTAGCAAGTAAATCATTTGTCTGAGAGATATAGAACGAGACGTTGTAAGTAGTCATCTCTACAAAGTGTAGGATGCTTGAAATTTGCATCTCTGCATCTTTTAAGATATGGGAGAGGGCAAGAAGACGGAGCTTATCATCCCACTTTTCTCGAGGGGGGAAACTGTGCTATTTCATTGACTAAATGGTTCACATCTCATCATATATTCCATGTCGGATTCTGGAAAGTTAAATGATAACGTGAACTTCATGTCTTGCATACGTTTATATATTTATAACTTTTCGTGTGTGTGATGGTTCAGCAATACATGGCACACCTTGCTTCTCATGGACAACTAGATGGAAGTGGCTAGCGGAAGCTCAGTAGAAGCAAACTGATGATTTGACTCCTCTCATCTGTATCTTGAGCAGGTTTAAATCAATTCAAGAAGCTGATTTGGTGATAGAATTCGAACCAACAGATATGTAAGTTGTTGAACATGTATTAACCTAGCCTAGCCTATCTCATATCAATATGGTGAGTTGTTAGGAGTGATTATATTGAATAAATAGATTCCTGAAATCGAAATTCATATCTTTTCTGCTCCTTTGTTATTCCTGGATTTGGCTCCTCTCTATTTCTCGTGATACACGAGACAAAATTTGAACGTTTCTAGCCTTCCCACCAGATCATTCTCCTCCTCCTCTTTCTCGTCCTCCGTTTCCTTTTTCGTCCATGAGTACACAACAGTGAAATATGTTGTTACAGCAAATTTAAAATTGATTGCTTATTTGTGGTCTGATTGACTGAGTAATGTTCCATTGAGCTTATATGGTCTAATCATTAATAATTTGGATTGTGGTTGGGAAAAAATTGAGAACAAAATTGTTGGATTTTCTTAAGCTTGAAAAAAATAAAGAAAGTAAATGAATTGATTTAAGAAGGTTTAGGTTGAATCTAACTATTGAAAATTATCGATATTGGTATATTAGAAAACTGCATATCAAATTTAAAGTCAATTTGGAGTTGTTTTTTGATCATATTTTAAGGAAAAACATGTTGGTGAATTTCTACATAATTATGATTTATGGTGATCAAGATCTAATTTTGATATACCAAGTCAACTTGACAATAATTGAATTAATTAATGATGAACAGTTATAAGATTCAAAAACAAGTCATTTTGAACATGAAATGAATTCTTAAAATAGTTTTTAAAAAATAATAGAAGGACAGAAATTTCAATTCATATAAAGACAATTACCTAGATTATTTGGTTCGTTTTTTTTTTCTTAAAACCGAAATCAAACAAACCAGACAAATCAAAAGTGCTTACTATAAGCTGAATAATCATTTAAATTGGGAATGATCAATTTATGATTTTTCACTTATAAACTTTTTTGTATTTACCAAACGCATAGATACTAAAGTAAAGCACCCTCTTAGCAACTTCACATTATCATTTTTTCAAAAAAATTAGATTGAGTTGGGTTAAGTTAAACATGAAGTTATGGACTAAGAAGACCCATGTATTCACGTAGCCGACCCCAACTTGCTTAGGATTTGCGTGGTTGGTGTAGTTGTGCTATCAAGGTGGACCAAGCATATGATAAAGAACACTTACAATATATACAAAAGATGCTGGAAATAAATAGCTCAACTGGTTATGATCATTACATCTGAACCACAGCATAATATAGTTGAAGATGCTGGACATAAAACAAATAGGCAATCCATCCCTCTTTGGGCACGAGGACGATGTTTGAAATCCAATCAGAATAATCTACTGTCTTAATGAAATCAGTATAATAATAACGACAACTGAAGTCGAACAAATAATGTAAGTAATGATGTCAAAGTGAAACTGTTAAATAGTTTACAATACAACCAACCAAGACTCCATTTCGAGTACATGAGCAATTACATTGCAATCAGTATGTCACTTACCAGAAATTTAGCAATTCCTTATCCATCCAAAATAAAAATGTTCAAGCATATAAAGCTGTCTTCGATGATTTATTAATCCCGTTTTGATATGGCTTGCAGGTTGTATCCTGAGGGAAATGCAGGTATTACGGTAAAAGCAAATTCTACGGTGTCGCGCACCTTTTATTTGCAATATATGAAGGAAAGCACAATAATAATACTAACTCACATCCAGATTTTCTGGGCACCCCTCAATACAAACATTTAAAAGCCCTAATCATAAAAAAAATTGTTTACAAGAAGTTACCCCGTGTAGTCCTATAAAGTGGGGTCTGGGGAAGGTAGAGTGTACACAAACCTTACCTCTATATCTAAGTACAGAAGTTGTTTCCGATAGACTCTGGGCTCAAGAAAAAACCAGTTTCGCAGCTAATTAAAGTTGAAAGGATGAATTTGGAGAAAACAGGAAGGAACAATACTAAAGGAAATAAAATGTACCCATGATTTTATGCCATCTGTCTAGCCTTCATGCCGACCCATAAGGAGGGGGAGGGGGACAAAGATGGGATCTGTGTTGCTCGGACTCTTCAAAAATATCGATGGGTGTGCATCGGATACGCCAAAAATAGTGAATTTTTGAATCCGACACGGGTGAGACAACATTTTTGGAGAGTACGAGCAACATAGGATGAGACTATTAGGATATTTAATAAGTTTAAGAAAAAAAAAAGAACATTTCATATATCAATTTTCCAGCCGAGGTTTTAAGAGCTCATATTTTTTTTATCTATTGTTCGTTCAAACAACGAAAAAATGTGAAGTGATTTGCAAGCATGTTAGGTCTGATCCCTATACTTTGGCTGAGTTGTATGTTACTATATTTTTACAATACAGGCTTTCCTAGGCATAGCTAATTTAGATTGGGGCATAGGTGATTGATTGATATAGTGTTTTTCTTCTTATAGGCCACAGTTCAGAAAACACTTACCTCGCAATCCCATATGGCCCCAACACATTTGGAAAAACTAATACTAGAACTTCTTAGCATGCAGCGTTCGGTATTCGTTGGTGTACTATGGCCAGCCTCTGTAGGACCTTCAACTGTATTAGCAGTATCCGGTTTCTTGACCTTAGGGGAACTCGGGGGGCTTGGAAGGCATCTCTGAGCCATAGAAGCCACAACATGCCTTTCAAATTCACCATCCTTATCAGCTTCCTCATCTGTGGAAGCACAAACTCGTTCTCTGCAGATAGTAATGAGGCTATTTAGGTAAGAGAAATTGATTACAACTATTTACTATTTAACACAAAAGAGAGAAGGTCAAGGACATTTCACCTGGGCAAAGAGGCATATCGTCTTGGAAAGAGAGTACTTCCACCTCTACCACTGTGCCCCTCGAGATGGTCAAATTGTTGTTTGAAGCAATCAACCCCACTAAAAAAGTAGTTTTTCAATTAGCAGAGTAAGTTAACATGTAATGCAGTGCATGCACCAGAAACAGAGAGGGCTTCAGAGCAAAATGCAGGCGAAATGTAGAAAATAGAAACCTTTTAAGTAAAAGGAGAAAACAGTGTTAAGAACTAAAAATACACAGGTTTGAGCATGAATCCTGCAGACATAGCAACTCTTAATCACAGTTTGTGTAAGTAGTAACTCGTCAGTATCCAGCTCTTTAATTATGTGCAATGGCAGAATCAATTTCCTTCAATTATCAGAACTGGTAAAATTAGTCCTAAAATATCTTTCCATCAAGTATTAGATGCATTATGAGTTTATGACTCAAATTTAGTACAGTTCTTCACAGGTTCCAACACTACTACTGGTTTGAAGCTCAAAACAGGCAAGAATTCTCAGCCTAACCTGACTAATGGCAAGTCTTACTTCCAGAGAAACATCATGGCAGATCTACTTGTCTTATACTTGAAATATGCATGGTCCATTTTACGCAATGAATTATTATCCATTCATTCAAAAATCTGAATATTTTTCTCTCACAAATCACAATTATTCCATAAGTCCATTCATCTACAGATCACAACACAAGGTCAACCCTTGTGTTGAATGATATCACAATCTAGAAACACTTGTGACTCTCATTAGCAGCAGATTTCTCCTTTCTTATCACCATTAAGTATCCGTTAGAGATATATCAGACTTTATGCATCAAGCATCAGGAGGAAATGAAGGGACAATGTAAGAATTACATGATAAGTTGGCACATGAAAAATAAATTATTTATGAGAACATCAGTGTGAATGATGTAGACAGAAGGATATGAATCATTGAAGAGGTTTATGACTTCTACTGCCATAGGTCTGCCAGTCCTTATCCTAAAAGGTTCAACTAATACAATACATGGATCATGAAATTTCTTGTTGATACATGACAACACAAGTATTACAATAAGTTTTTTAGGATGATGTTAGGCAGTTTGAGACAAATTTCACGAAGACAATGGAAAAATGAGTTAAATCATCAGATGAAAAGGTGTTCACAGCAGCAACAAATATGAACTATTTAGAGAGAAGTTTGCATTACCTTGGATACATAAAGTGAGTGTGATCAGTGCCATGAAGATGCTCCTGCAGCATCTGAGGGTGATATTCCAGAATCTGCCGACAGTTGAAAACAATGTACACTATAAGTAGTAGAAAAAGGTGCAAAAAGAAGGTCAAGCAAAGATGAAAATGGTTGTTAACGGATATACCTCTCGGTAGATGAGGTCCCTAATATCCTCTTTCCCAAGTTTTCTTCGTTCAAAGTCGAATTCGAATTTTGAGATAGTCTGAGATGATGGTTCCTGTTCCTTGTTGGCCAAACCACGGAAATATGGATGTGCTAGCGCCTGAGTGGATTAATGAATGCTAGTATTAGGAAAAAATATGTTTATACAAACTAAAGACAAAGACCTAATGACCACTGCTACATCCTACCTCTTCAGCAGAAGGGCGATCTTTGGGATCGAATGCAATCAAACGCTCAAGTAATCTTAGAGCTAGTGGATCAACGTGTGGGAATTGCTGTGAGAGAGGGATAGGTGCTTTCTTCTTCATGCTGCTTAAATATCTCCTTGCTTTTTCATTTTTAATCTGCAGGTATCAGGAAAATTAGGAACAAGATATATTCAAGATTCATTACTAGATGATATGTTTATCAACTGTAATAGATTGATAGAAAGCACAAACCCTTGAAATGGCTTCAGTGGACGGTGTACCAAGCAAATCAGTTATGAGATCCAATTGGTGAACCGCATTTTTCCCCGGAAATAATGGTTTTCCTGTAAGCATTTCTGCAAATATACATCCTAGACTCCAGATATCAACTGCTGGGGTATACTGCAATTAAGTCTTTGGTCATTTGCATGATTAAGCTACCACAAGTGAGAAACAAATTAGGCTTACATACCATCTCATTAGGCATATGCCAAGTTCAAATTAGAGCAGAAAACCTAATGCTCATTGACACAATATAACTTTATTATGCAGAAGTTTGTGTAACATCTTAGCACTTCACTTTTTCCACTTATGACAAGGAATGCCATAGAAACCGACTATCCGGAACTCGTCCAAGATTAGGAGAAAAAGTCCTTGAAGGTCCTACTACATGGCATATACAGAGTGGCAGAGATAACTAAAACACATGTAATAAATGAAAAGAATTGAATGGTTGTTATTTGGAGGTGATACAGAGAAGACGGAGAGAAAAGAGGATCTCTTCTTCATAATCAGAGAGTTACAGTCTCACATCTTATGTTATGGACAAACTAGGATTATATGTCATTGTGTACTTGAAGAGGATGATGCTAGAATCGAGATCAAATTATTGAGACAGCACCCAAAGTACCCTTTTCGAGTGCTTTGTCAAGGGAAGACAGTATCTTTTGAAACATCAAGAGGGTACCAATTTCACAACAGCTGTTACAAATTAAAAGAATAACACCCTAGACAATGGTTAAGGGACTAGAAGAGATGAATACTCATTCCATAATAATAGACATTTCTCGGGCCTAATATGGTCTCAGCGTTAAGCAATTGCTATCTGACAAGATTTTAGCCATTGCATGGAAAAAACCTTTATGCAATAAAGATGTTTCAGAAGAAAAGAACAACCAAATAAGACAAAAGTAAGAACCTAGATGTCTTCACATCATTTTTGCATAAAGAACATAAAATTGAGTATAAAACATCCGAAAATAGAGTAAAAGTAAATTATGGATGAAAGTACTTTGCCCTAAACAGTTGGAGAAAAGGTTTTCTGCAATGGTATGAAATCTTGATGCATCAATTCCAACAACTAACTAATCATTACTTACTCAAAATGACTTGCATAAATTTTTGACACCAGCAAAATGAAGATTGCAAACAAGAAATGAGGAAGCGAAGGAACAACGTCACTAGTCCATAAGATGAAAGAATATTGTAAAAGCAAAATCCCATGCTAAGTAAAAAGTCTCACAATAAGAAATTTAAGTTTCTTTTCCAACGTTAGCATGAGAACATGCACCTGAATAGTACTAGCAATCATATAAGTAATGTATATAAGCATGCCTATTTACCTGTATACCATCATACTTACTTTGGAAAAAAAGGAACCACAGAGTTCTGGAGCACGGTACCAGCGAGTTGCCACGTAGTCCTTTAGAGAAAAAGGATGAAGAATTTTACTTGGAATTACAGGTGTAACAAATTAACAACTTAAGAAGGGTGTTGGATATATCGGTGCACAATGAATCAGGCACTTCTATGACAGGTGTACTAACTTAACACTTTCAGTGTTGGCATTGAGATATTTTGAGTGGCTAGTGTAGTAAGGATAGACTAAGAAAACTTTAAAGTAAAGAGATGAAGCATACAGTCCAGAAAACAGCAGATGGGTTATCGCCAAGTGATACCCGAGCAAGCCCAAAATCACAAATTTTCAGCTTGCAATCTGCATTTGCTAGAATGTTTTTTGGCTTCAAATCCCGATGGAACACGTTTGCTGTTAAATCAACAAATGTGGGAATGAGTCATAAGAACATATGTAAAACAGAAGGTTCTTCAAGTACCAGAAAACAGAAAGAGAAATCGCAACCTGTATGCATATATTTTAAACCTCGAAGAAGCTGATACATAAAGAATTGATAATGTTCAGCAGTGAGACTGTCATTTGCTTTAATTACATGCTGAAGGTCACATTCCATCAACTCGAAAACAACATAAATATCCTTGAATTCCCTCGGACATGGAGGCAACAATATATGCTTTATTTCAACAATATCTGGGTGCCGAAGCAACCGAAGGAGCTTTATTTCTCTAAGGATGCGGGTGGCTTCACAGCTGTGCTCAAAAACATCATTGATCTTCTTTATTGCTACCTTCTCTCCAGTATGAGTATCAATTGCTGCTGCAACAACACCATAGCTTCCCTTGCCAACGACCTCTTGGATTTCATATTGATGGGCCTCACCATATTCAGTGAAGAATTCTTTGAAATCCATTACCTGCAATAATATGAGATACTATTAGGATTCCTCTTTACACAAAGAGACAAGGTCAAAATAAGACGCAGAAGGATATATCAAAATCCCAAATTTTCTGTAAAACCGTAAAATTTAAATCTGAAATGAAATGTCTTCCCTCATTTCGTCCCGTTTCTATGGTCTAAACAACAAGCTCTACCTCACACATCAAACAACATATATTTGCCAATGCAAGAAATCTAATTTTACTGAACATTCTTCCACAGTTCACAAGCAGGATATAAAACAGAGAGAAGCAAAGGATATTACAGGGATCCAAGGGGCATTCAGGATACAGAAAAACTGATCTAACTCTTTGACAGTAAATCAGCTTCTGATATGAATGGAACCTTTTAAGGTGATTGTGAAAGGTGAGACTGATGGAATACTATGAAAGTAAACAGCAGAAGGTGATTAAGGGAGGTATTCAAACAGAAAATGCTGAAACATTTAAAGTCTAAAATATGATTGATACTTAAAACATCTTGTGTATCATTTCTTAAGCATTTGATTTCCCTACAATACCTTTGTTTTTCTTTTAGTGTTGAGGTCATAAACATAGGTTGAAAGTTAAAATCATTTATCAAATATTGTTTCAAATTCCTTTCGAAGGTTGAAATGAAAACTATTCTCAAATATTCAGTTGCAGAAAAAGAAAAAAAACTCTCAAATACTCAAAAGCCAATAATAAAGTTACAGCATGAGTACTTCACTTGTCACATGAATCCTGTCTACTCTGACTGCTAAATTACCTTGAGTTTCAAGATTTTACTTTGAGTGATAAGCTTTTACTTACATATGTTAATTAGGACATTAAGATATAAACCCTAACATAATAGATCAGTCAGAGAGATGCTAAAAATGGGGAAATGGGAAGAATTTGACTAAAAACTCTGATAGGAAAATAGTTAAGTAAGAAATTGGCAGGAGATAAATCTTTTTGGCTGAGATCAGTCTTTTCTCCTAAATGGCAAGTCAACAAATCCGAGTAGCGAAGATGTCTATATTTCAAACTTTTGGATAGGATTTACAAATTAAACAAGAGTAGGGAATATTTTGCTTTTATCCCATGAAAGAAATAATGGTTTCCAATTGTCTAAACAAAAATGCAGGTCTTTTTGCAAGTATAAACAATATAATATCATGAGCTAATGATCTATCGGAAATCGCCTCACGGTTTCCCAAGGTAGAGGATAGAGGTTCGAGTACATATTACCCTCCCCATACTCCACCTGTGGGATTACACAAAGGTGTATCGTTTTTGTTGTAAACAATATAATAGCTGAATATATAAACACACTAGAATTAAAACATTTCAAAGTGCTACATTGATACACTAAATCAATTCAAAACATCTCTTCCTCTACCCCACCCCGACGGAAGTTTTAATTAGATGATGACAAAGAAGAAGAGAAGTTACCATTTTTGATACTTAGACTTCTAAATAAGATGGACACCGTTTGAATCACTTTCAGCACCTGCAATGCATCAATAATCAGCTAAATAACATGTAATTAATTACTCACTGATTAAAAGGACTGAATGCTAATAACTCAAAATTCCACATTTTATGAAAGATGGGAGATCTCTAACTAACACTTGAAAAGATCTCTAATACCAGATTTAAGTTATGTGATCTACCAGACTTATACATATATATACAAACATCAACCCCAGATTATTCTTCTTGTGTTCAACCATGAACCTTTATATCCATCCATTCAATTACATTCCAAATATTTCTTCCCATCCGTCCTAGCTTTGGTGAGACTATCACATAGAATTATTCAAGGACAACATGGTTATCAACAATGAAAAAAACTACATTCCAAATAAATCTCAATATACTCAACTAGAAAAGAAAAATCAGATCTTGAATCAAAGAATACCTCATCATCCAACTGCATTAAAGATCTAATATCTAAAACTCAACAAAACTAATAATCAAAAAAAAAAAAAGATTAGATCTTGAATCAAAAGAATACCTCAACAATAATAGGTCTCTAAAGAGAGGTAAAAACAGCTCTTAAGAGACAATAATTGCTTCTCTTTTCCAAGTTCCCAGCTTTAAGGAATTAACAATTGACAACTTCCTCTACTTGCTTTTAACTTCAGAAATTGACAAGGTAAAGCCAACCCCAGTTGAAACCCTCTATATATACTACCTATTAATTAATCAATAAAAATATTAAAAATAAAGTTGAAGAAACAGCCAAAATTGAATATATCAGCTGTATCAGTATCTTTATCACAAATCTTCCACTATCTTCTTTTTTTTTTTAAAAAAAATGGGCGTACATACGTAGGGGGGCGAAGCCGAGTAGGACCAAAGGAGTTTATATTAAAATATTATTTTTTTTCAGAATTAAAAATCTTTGCTCCGCAACTGAATACATCATAAATCCAATCCACAAAGAGAAAAAAAATGTTTAAAAAAACTCCCAATGGAATTGGAATCCGATGCAATTATTATAATAATAATAATAGTTGAGAATTGAATGCGTAAACAGTGAAAAGCGACAAACCTTGAATGGCGAACCTTATCTTATCTCTATTTCTGGCGAATTTTGTCTACATCCACAACTCTGAGAGAGAGAAAATTGAATCTGATTCAGATCTGAGAGTTAGGGTTAGGTGAAGTGAAACGAAAAGTCTGATAAAGTTGAAAGTTCAAAGAATATTAACGCGTTTTTCAGAGCTGTGACATCGTGCAGTAGATTTGACTGCTCCTCTTCGAACTCAAACTCAAACTATATGGACAAAAAATTGATAGCAAACTATGCGACTCGAATTCAGAATAATTAATGCTAATGGAAAAAAAAAAAAATTGTAAATTTGAGCTAAGCTAATAAATGGCCATTGAAATTGAGAAAGAAGAATTGATAATTGGACCAAGATGACGCCATTCTTTTAATTTCTGACTCATAATGACATGGTAAATCTAATACAAAGTCAAATTTATTGATTAGGTGTAAATATTATTATATTTATTTATTTATATTTAATTTGATATATCTTTTTAAAAAATTAGTAAAATAGTGGTTGTTGTATTGGTTTTTGAATATAATAACTATGTTTTGGAAAATATTTGTACTTAATAATAAGAAATTATGAATTAAGTGAGGATATTGTTTAATTTTTTAAATTAAGCAAGTAAAAATAGATATCTCATTTGAATAAGTGGATATAGAATCACTTGGTGACCGTCCGTAGTTTGATGGCTAAGACTCAATAGATGATAGAAGTGGAGAAAGACTATATAGTTATTTCGAGTGAGTTTGGAGATTAAGAGAAGGTAATTGAGTGGCTTGATTACTGTTAGAGTTTAGAAGATGGGAAAGAAGTCGATAGAGATGAGGGATTGAAAGAATAGCAGAATACTAATAATATGTTGATAGCGCAACTAATTGCAATAAAAAAAGTAGCTAGAGAGGTGTTAAGATTTTGAAAGGTAACGATAGTGGACATCGAAGACATAAGTGACGAAATCGAACGTTCCCTATAAAAGTGAGAGTCCAGAAGGTGGCTTATAAAAAAATGGTAGAGAGTAAGAACAATGAGGAAAGGTATAAACGGTGGAGAAGGAAGTGAAGTTAGTAGTTACAATAGTAAAGATAATAGCATTTGGTGAAGTTAGTAGTTACAATAGTAAAGATAATAGCATTTGAACATGTTGTGTATGAAAAACTAAATGACAAAGACAGAGATAGAAACTTGTTTAGGCTTGCCAAGGCGAGAGAGAAGCACCCAAGACTTGGACCAAGTACATCAAAGATAAAAAATAAAAAAGGTAAAGTATGAAAGTATCAATGGAAGAGGTCATATTAAAGGAAGATAACAAACATACTTCCATAAGCTCTTGAATGAAGAGATGTACTAAGATATTGTGTTGAGCAAATAGAGCACTCTGAGAAACCAAGATTTAGAGTATCGTACGAGTACAGAGTTTGAGGAGGTTAAAGAGGTCATTTGTAAGATTGGAAAGGAGAGGGTGATCGAGCCAAATGATATTTTAAAAAAGCACAGATAACACAAGTATAAAGTAATTGAATTGTTTGACGTCATTTAAATGTCAAAAATGTTGAAGAATGTAGGTGGAGTATAATGATCTTGTTATATATGAATAAGGGTGATATTCAGAATTACAATAATTACGGGGTATCATGTTGAAAAGACACACTATGAAAGTTTGAAAGGGATAGTGGAAATGAGGGTGAGGGAAAGTGTCTATTACCAAAACCTAATTTGAATTCATGTCGGAATGTTCAACTACTAATCACATAAGGAGATTGATGAAGCAGTATAGAGATAATAAGATGGACTTATATATGATGTTCGTTGACCTAAAAACACATGTGATAAAGTTCCTAGAGATTTCTGTGAAGATGTTTGGAGGTTAGAGGTGTACTTGTATCTTACGTTAGAGTGATTATGAAATATATAATGGAGTCAAGATCCGATTGAGAATAATAGAAGAGGGCTCAAAGCAATTTCTAGTTGTGATAGAATTGTACCAGGAATCAACTCTTAACCCATATTTATTTTCTTGGTGATAGATGAACTGACGTGACATATTTAAAAAAAATCGTCTAGTGTATGTTAACGATGGCTTGGAGGCTTAAAAACATACCCTAGAATTTAAAGTGTTTACGTTGAGCAGGACTAAAGTGTCATACTTAAAGTGTTAGTTCAATTACATAATTTATGCGACATATATGAAATTAAAAATTGATACATAAATCATCTCCAACAAAGAAAGTTTCAAGTATCTTGGGTCGATAATCTAAGCGAACAGAGAAATTGATGATGTCACATCATATAAGAATGGCGTGGATGAAATAGAGATTTGCATTTGGTGTCCTGCATAATAAGAATATGTCAGCAAGACTTAAATATAAGTTTTATAAAATAATCGTTAGATTAGTTTACATTGAATGGGCCAGAGTTTTAGTTGATCAAGAACTTTTCTTCAGAAGATGAAAGTAGAATTAGGAAGTTTGAGATAGATGTGTACATACTAGAAGAAATATGATTAGGAATAAAAGTGTTTGGGATAAGATGAGAGTGAATTTTGTGGTGAAAAAGATGAGGGACTGAGATGGTCTAGGAATATGAGAAGGAGATGCATGTATGCCCAAATAAAGAGGTGTGAGATGTTCTCTATGGTGGGTCTGAGGAGATGTAGAGGTAGACCGGAGAAGTATTAGAGAGAAATGATTAGACATGACATTATGCACTTGCAGCTTATCGAGGACATGACTATAGACAAGAGGATATGGAGGTTGATAATCAATTAAGGTAAAAAAAATTAGTAGGTAGTTGAGTGTTGTCTTATTTTTCAATGGGATTAGAACTAGTGGTAGTATTTGCCTTATTCATATAGTTTCTTGCTTTTATTATTTGTTATCATCTATTGTTTATTATGTTTAAGTGATCACACTATTTTGTTAATGCTATTATTTCTTGTATGTTTGTTCTGCACTGTTTTTTTATTAGTTGTCATATTTTTTAATAGTCATTTTTCTTTTCATCAATATTTGATATGTTTCACTTGAATTGATGGTCTTTCGAAAACAACTTTTCTACCTCTACAAAATAACAAATTGAAATAAGATGTGCACGTATTTTACTCTCTTCATAACCACTTTATAGAATTTACCAAATATGTTGTTATCATTAGTTCATCCAACTTGTCTACATTTGACAATTACGCATTAAAAATTGTGGGGGTCCTAATCTATGACCTTCGTAGATTTGTTCAAAAGTAACGTCATTATCCACTAATTGTTGATGTAACACAAAAAGTATGTTAATGATAGGCCATATCTAAATCTAATAATTTATACTCCACTTTCTTTGTTCCACTTGCTATAATATATATTTCTTTTTAAATTATTTTAGAAGAATAATATCTTTTTATATATTTTTTTAAAAAGTAAACTTTTAGTTCACATTTTTTTGTTAATGAAAAATGATTTATAACTATATAATTAGTTATCATATTATCTATTCAACCGTAAATTTTGAAAAAAAAATTCCAATTAAAATGTATTAAATATATTAAGACTAAAAAAATAAAAATAAATTTAGCGTAATAAGTACTTTTTATATAGTGTGAATCCAAACTAAAATTAAAAGGCTAATACATAATTAGCCCATCCAACTTGTCTACTTTTTCTAATTCAGCATTAAAGTTTGTGGGTCCTATAATTCATGTAGACTTGTTCCCTAATTTGCTGATTATGGCGCAAAAAAAATGTGTTGTATTAATTTAAAACAAAGACAAAAATATACATGATGGCTTAAATCCGTCGTTATGTAATTATGTCATGAATAATTTATTGTAATCGTGTTGTTATTTTATTTTTATTTTTCATTTTAATTATTATTTAATAAATTTATTTTGTCTTACGAATATTTAAAATAATATTTTTTATTTACATATCTAACCAAAAAAACCCACTTATTTTACTTAAAGATATTTTTCATAAAAAAATATTTTCCA